ATAAGATGAGCATAATTATACATGTTAGTTTTTCATCAACAAGAATCCTTTTGAGTTTTAACAATAACTTATTTTAAATTAACGACAGTCTAATCGAGATTTAACAAGCTAGATAAGCAACAGTCCGCTGGACCTGTGCTTTTAATCATCAACTACAAGTATCGATTTAAATTTTAACAACAATTCATTGTAAATTAACAATTGTCTATTTGAGTTTTAATAAGCTAGAAAAACGGATAAGATGAGCTTAATTATATGTATTATTCCTTTATCAATAAATGTTCATTTATGTTTTTACAACAATTCATTCAAAATTAACAATAATTTATTTTGATTTTAACAAATTAGAAAAACTGATAGGATAAGTTTAATTGTATATGTTAGTATTTCATTAACAAATATTGGTTTCATTTTTGACAATAACTTATTCATGATTAACAACAATACATTCATATTTTTAATAAGTAAAATGCTTAAAGTTTTAAAGCTCTCAATTTATAATTGTTCATGTCAGATTAACAAGTAATATTTATAAAATAACCAGTTCCATTAAAAAAATTAACAGCATATCGTTATATTTTAACATGGAAATGGTTAAAAGCTTAGTTTATTATGTATATTTTTTTTGCTATATATAATTAAAGGGGTTAGTGTCTTAGTGGCTACCAAGCTTTTTAAGTAGCCAAGGATTATGAGATCAAATCTTGCTCTAAGCCACCAAGCTTTTTAGGTGGCTAAGGGTTATGAAATTAAACCTTTCGTTAGCCACCTAAACAATTATTTCTTGAATAAACATGTCACTCATGTTGGAGCTTCAGTAATCGATTGTCGGTAACCTCGCCTATTATAGGGGCTTCGGTGACCTAATTGATGGCAGGGGTTTGAAGTGGTCTGACAGCCGGCGATAATGGGGTTTCCTTTTTTTTTGTTTTTTAACTTAAGGGACAATTTTGTCATTTTGCATATGAAATTAATATGAAAGAAGGACTAGAGGACTGCAGAGTAAAAGCCAAATCACTTGATCTTTATATGCTATAAATTTGACATAGAGGTCGTTAGATGCTATTTTCCCTATTTTTTATTGATATGAAAAAATGATATGTAATTTTATTTTTACCGTGGACTTTAAATAATGACACAACTATATTAAATACCTTCACAATAATCAAGAAAGGGTAAACTTGGAAAAAGTAATTTATTCATTACAAAGTATCCTATATTTTGGACAAAAAATACTTCTAAAAGATCTCCTATAAAGAGGACTAGAGGAAGTATATTAGGAAGGAAAAAGTTTAAGATTTTTTTGACCAAATCTATTGACCAATTATACTAGCCTGTATATGTCAGACTCAACTTCAGTGTGTCACCCTAATTTTATTCTTCAATGTGATAAGATTTGGACCACTTAAATTTTGATATGATAGTTCAAATTTAAAATATTATTTTATATTTATTAAAATAAAATCTATAAAAAAATTTAATAATTTTTTATTGTCAATTTGGTCTAGATTTAATTTGAAAGGTCTAATTTAATATTAAAATTTTGTAATTCTTATATCTTGACCATCTAGATGTACTCTACATAATTCAGGTTTAATAATATTTTTTTATAATTCTTATAAATTTTTATTTAAATCAATATATAAAACTGGCATTTTTAAAAAAAATTATAGGTTAAAAATTTTAAATCTAGACTATTCAAAATACATATGAATAGTTAGTATATAAAATTTATGAAAGTTTTGATATTAAATTGAATCCTCTAAATTAAATTCAGATTATGTTGATATATTTTTATGATTTTTTAAATTTCTATTTTAAAATAAAAATATAAAATAATATTTAAAATTTTAATGATTGAAATTAAGGGTGTTCACAGGATGGGACCAAAACATCCCTATCTCGTCTTGAATAAAAGATCGGGATTAAATTTTTATCCCATGTCCTGTCTCAAAAATTATTCAACCAAGTTAGGAATCAAGACGGGAGTGGGACATGATTGGACCATGTAACATCCTCAAATTTACAAATCGATTTTTCACAAATTATTAAAACCATTATCGTGGTAGAAAATTTTCTTACCATGATACATCCAAGACATAACACAAGTCTTAAAATATCCAAAAAAAAGCAATTAAAACCATGAGAGACAGACATAATCCTCATGGCATGATATTCAAATTAGATCATACATCAAAAGGGACAGACATAATCCTCTTAGTCATATAAATACTTTTAATAAAAAGGATTAGAATTTATATGCTTCACAAAGAAGATATGTCGTAAGTTGGCATAAGATACATTGTATAATTTAAAATAAGAGGCAACGTAAAAGATGGTGTCTCATAACCATAGTTACACCTCTGGTGCTTTCTCGGCCGGACTCGCTCCTGTAAAAATATTAACCACGGGGAATGAGACTTAAAAGTCCCAGTAATCAAAAATTAATATGTAATGATGCATGCGGATGTAACTAATCATGCGATTGCTAAGTGGGCACACAAAACATTTAACCGAACAATACTTTCAAACAAACCGAACAAGTATTTAATTTGCATGACTGCACCTTATATCCTCCTTTCGCCATGCTCGGACGCCAAATCACTCGGCTAAAGGTGAGTTGGACCAAACGACACACCACTCATTGGGTCCAATGAGGGCTTACCACGTGGTAATAATTAACTGAACAGAAATTTTCATTAACACCATACATTAAAATACCCTAACAAGTCATGCATCATTCAAATATCCAAACAGGAATATATCCGAACAATAATATCTCATCATGATAAATAAAAATAAATTTTTTAACCCACTTGGCAATAATTTCAAACAAGTATATACAGTATTTATTTTCAATAATTCATAATTTTTTCAAACAATAAAAACAACACATAACCATTCACAAACACACCCATCACAACACATTAATAATGGTTACCTTGTGTCTTGAATAACAAGTTCCCCTTCACAACTCCTTTTTCACCACTATCTTTGTCAATATAATCTACATAATTATTTCACAATACTATATATTAATTTTACATTAAAATTAATAAATAACTCTAATTTAAAGAGTTAAAAAGTCTTAGATTTATAATCCATATTAACATTAATTTAAGATTTATGCCTCATTTAACTTTTTAAATTCTTTTCTAAAATTCTCGTACCTTAATAAACTATTTTTAAGCCTCAAATCACTTCTAGTATCACAATTTCATCCTTCTATATTCTAAAAATTCGTTTAAAAATAAATTAAAAATTTTAGAATTATTCTGAAGCCTCAAATCACCTTTCTATATCCTCAAAAATACCTATTCATAGTTAAATAAATATTTAATAATTAGAAGTTCATCCCTACATCTCAGATTCTACATAAATTCAACCATATAGATCTAGAGTTTAACTCAAAAATTCTTAAACATGAGTTTCAACCTCAAGAAAATATTCTATAATATTTATTATATCCCTAAGAGCTTTAACCTATATTTTTAATTTATCATATCATCAGATTAACTATCCTATAAAAAAATCTTAATCAGAATATTTACTCTATCCTACAAAATAATCAAATCACTAGAAAGCTAATATTATTTAGAAAATAACTATAAAATTAATTTTGTAATTAAATAAATTTTTAAATGTTAATCTAAACAGGAAAGTTAGAACATACCTGAAGAAAAAGAAAATAATCCCCCTTGCAAGAAGACGCCAAGCAATGTGAGAGGAAGAGAGAAAAATAATATAAAAATGGGATTATGGGTCCCAAAATTATATTAAAAAAAACTATAGGTTTGAATTTAATTATTCAAACTTTTGGACCATTACTTGCAATTTTCTCTAAATTACATCTTGGGCCCTTAGTTGCAATTTTCACAATTGCATAAACTTTTCTTTTTCTTCCTTCTGCTCCTCCTCACCTGTGCCTCCTCCTTTTATATGTGTGGAGGCACCTCACCTTTCCACATCTAATTGATGTAGGACTTCAACAGTGCCTCTCTCTGTTTTTTTTTACTTCAACTATTTTTTTTAATTTTTTTTAACTCACACACACACATAATTTTTTTTATTTAAATCTTAAAATTATATCTTAACAAAATATTTCTTATATAATTTTAAACCTAAGTTTTTAATTCATAATTAAATTTTTAACCATATTATTATTTCTGAATAATCTTAAATAATATAAATTCCTATTATTATCATTTTTTTTAAATCAGGATGTTACAGACCATCCCGCTGTCCTGATAAATCAGACAATGTTAAAAAAAAGATCTAGATAATAACATTTATTAAAATTTTAAATCATATAATTTATTAAGTTTAAAATAAAAACAATACAAGTACATAAATCACATCAATTTTAAGTCAATTATTAAATTACATTAATCACAACTATATATTATGATAGCAATTACAAGTAATTTCTGGGCTGTAAGAACAACAATAACAAGCAAACTAAATACAATATCAAATCATTGTTCTTCTACTTTAGTTAAAATATGCTAAGCTAATTACTCTTTCAAAAATAAAATAAGAAATATGATATAAATAAAAGTTATTAAATAGATAGATAATTGTATTAATATAATTAATATATTATAAAGAAAGGTATTACCCTGTTTACTTTATGTTATTAAAATTATCAATATAAAAAATTTTAATTTTATATAAAAATTGCAAGTATTGAGATTATAATTGATATAATTAATATAAGTATAAATTATATTAATATAATTAATATATTTAATATATATTTTTAAAATAAAAAATAATATATATAATATTCGGGACGGGACGAGACATCTCAATAATAATCTCGTATTCCGTCCCATCTCGAACTCCTTTTCTTTCTTATTTTATTATGTAAAATTTTATCCTGATTATCTTTAAGTTGAGATGAAATTTGTTTTAATATAATTAAAATGATATTGAATTAATCAAGATAGATATAATCTGAACTCTCCTTGTTCAAATTAAAATTCAATTGGAGTGCGATGGTAGTCAATAGTTTGACAGAGTACTGAAGATGGAGCTGTACAGATCTCAATACTCATCATTCTTTATCATCGCAAACTCCAAAAGTAATTAACGATGGGGTGGTTGACAGCTTGCACAAGCCTGGTTCTAGTGGGTTTGCTTGCTCTTGCAGTTCAAGTGCTGTACTTCTCACCCATAGACCCGATCATAGTTGAAAGGCCTCCATCAGCTTCTCCTTTCCCCGTTAATAACCATTTACAGAAAGTCATCAAGCTTGGAGAAGGAATTCTGAAGGATCCGGAAGATGTTTGTGTAGATAAACATGGAACTCTTTATACGGCAAGCAGAGATGGTTGGATCTCGCGATTGTACCGAAATGGTTCCTGGGAGCACTGGAAGAACATTCAAAGCCATACCATGCTTGGAATTATTGTCACAAGACGGTCTGATGTCCTTGTTTGTGATTCTGACAAGGTCATCAACATATCTACCCTTTCATAACTATTTATGAAGCCCCTATACACCATTTTCTCCTGTTTAGGCTTCTAGTTGAGAGGAAATTTTCAGCTTCCTGAGTTTTTGGGGTACAATTTGGTGTGCAGGGGTTGCTCAAAGTGACAGACGATGGCGTCACAGTTCTAGTTTCTGAGGTGAACGGTTCTAAATTAAGGTAAGGACTCAGTCATATAGTTATTAGTAGGAAACTGTTAACTTTCATGAGTTTTCGGAATTGTTTTTGCTTCCTCCGAGGGATAGCTGGTTAGACTTAATTATTGGGTGAGACTAGTGTATCCACAGATCTATAGGTGTTTGACAAGTCTAATTTGATTCTTATATGATTTTTAACGTAAATGATAATTCTTCTTCGATGGAAAAGATGAATAACTTGGGTATAAGTGCAATCAACTATTGTCGGTTTAAATTATGAAAAACCCAAACACAATGGAATATTTGATACGAAATAGAAGAATGGAGAAAAAAACTGCTTCGAGCTGGGGGAAAACTACTGATTTCTGAGCCTTGTTTAAGGTTTTACAGTTAGTCAGAGAGAATGTCGTGCATATAGCATGCCCAATAAGACCAATGATAAAAAGAACACTAATTCATTAGTCATCACAAAATTTGAAATAGTACTTGTACTATAGGCTTGCAGATGAAGTGGTGGAAGCTTCAGATGGAAACTTATATTTCAGCGAAGCTAGCACCAAATATGATCCGCACAACTCGTTTCTAGATCTGCTCGAAGGAAGACCCAATGGCCGATTGCTCAAGTACAATCCATCCTTAAATGAGACTTCTGTGTTCTTGGATAATCTGACCTTTGCCAATGGCGTTGCTCTCTCCAGGGACGAAGACTATCTTGTGGTCTGTGAAACTTGGAAGTGAGTACCTATCTTAAACCAACGTGCCCTCCTTTTCTTTTCCACTGTTAGTATATATGCTGACAGCTAATTCCCTGTAAATCAGACATAGTTGTCTAAGGCACTGGCTAAAAGGAGAGAAGAAAGGCAAGACAGAGACTTTCATTGAGAACCTTCCAGCCGGACCTGATAACATTCATCTTGCTCCTGATGGCTCTTTCTGGGTAGCTTTGGTTCAGGTAAGCTCAAGTTCAAACTGCATATATGAATTAAACTGAACTTCTTCAAAACTGATGTGGTGTCACGTACAGTCTATATCTGAAAAAATGAGGTTCGTGCACGCTTCAAAGGTATTGAAGCACCTGCTGGCTTCATTTCCAAAACTAGGTAATTTGGTAAGGGGAGCACATGAGAAGGCAATGGTGGCGAACGTGGGGAGCGATGGGAAGATAATCAGAATATTTGACGATGATGAAGGGAAGGTGATGACTTTTGTGACTTCGGCGTTGGAGTTTGAGGACCATCTTTACCTGGGAAGTCTCAATTCCAACTTTATTGGAAAATTGCAATTGCGTAGTGAAACCAAAACTGGCTAGTTACTGAACAATATAAGTTTAGCTTTCATTTCAAGTGATGTGGTTTTGTATTTCTGTATTGTTCAATTCAATATCATGTTGTGTAAGAGGTATGATAACACAACTCAATCAGCATCTTTTTTTTTTGGGGGGGGGGGTGAAAGAGAGATCAGTGTTTTTGCCTTTGTTCTTGGACCAAAAAACAGTAAAAAAATGAGGAGGCGTCTTAGTGTGATGAGACGGACCTAGAAATTTTAGAATGAGGGGCATCATACATGGGGAATTTAAATTAGTATTGTTAAATTTAAGAATTATATATATATATATATATATATTATACGCATAAACTTCAAGTAAATGAATTTTTTTTGTGGTATACCGGCCCCCTCATTGTATAGTGCAAGGGTGTGTTTGATTTGAAGCGAAAGAAAGAGTTTTAATAGAAGAGGAGAGGAATTTGATATTATCTTGTTAGGTTTAGAGGGGGATAAGAAAAATAATTATATATGAATAATTCTATTTTTATTTTATTAGTATTGAGATACTAGAGAATATATCTGTATTTTTTAAACTTATTAAAAATGGCATATTGGTTAGGGTATGAAAAATTTTATCTCTTCCTTTTAAATCCATTCAATTTGGAAGAAAGAGAAGGAAAAATTTTAAAAGAATTTCTTCCCTTATAATTTTTTAAACCAAATGGGAGGGCGGGGATCCTTCCCTCCCCTCCAACCAAATACTCTCTATGTCCTTCATGAATTCTTGAATAGTTGTACTGAACAAGATCGAAAGCAACGAATGGAGGAAGATGCCTATGAAGACCACCATCCAGTTGCATGTTGCTGTTGAAAGCTGACATCGTAATTGCCCCCTTGCAAAATGATGACTACATCCTTGCCACCCCACGCCATTATCTGCTCCAAACGCAAGCCATTTTGGACCATCCATCGAATCTTCACTGTCATGTAATTTTTTATGGAAAAAGTAGCAATCGAGGATCTTAATAGTAAATTAATATCAATCAAGGTTTTAAGGACCAATTGATTTTAAAATTGTTATATAGTCTTTTAATCCTTAATTGATATTAATTTGTGAGGTCAAAAGAATAGAGTGCCCCTCAAATTAAAAAAAAGCGAAAAAAAAACTCTCATTGTCACCGACACTAGCCATTGGACCATCACCAAACCTTGGCTAGCGGTGAGATCGCCAAAGTCCCTATCGCCGATCGTTGGTCACCAGTGTTTCAATACCAGCAATATTTTTATTCAAGAAATAATTGGTTTAGGCGGTCAAAGGATTGCTTAATCTCATGACCCTTAACCACCTAAAAAATATCAAGTATTCATTTAATTTTTTTACAACAATTTATTCTAAATTAATTATAATCTATTCGAGCTTTACCAAGGTAAAAAAGGATATAGGATGAGTATAATTGTATACATTAATCTTTTATCAATAAGTATCCATTCATGTTTTAACAATACTTCATTCTAAATTTACAATAGTTCATTTAGGATTTAACAAGCTAAAAAATCAACAGTTCATTAGACTTGTGCTTTTAATTATCAATTACAAATATCTATTCGAGTTTTGACAATAATTCATTTGAATTTTAACAAGTTAGAAATATGAATAACATGGGCTTAATTATATGTGTTATGTAACAGCCCTCCTGGGTCACCACTGCCTCTCCAGGGTCTTTTCCCAGGCGCTGGACAACACACATGTCACCACGTGATTGCCGGCTTTCCCACTGGTGGTACAGTGGTTATTCCTCACCCCACCCTCACGGGGGTCTTTTGGAACCTCCCCAGACTCGAACCTCCAACCTCTACCACCTTAACGAAGTTGAGGCGAAGTCTGGTACCATTGAGTCAAGTTTATATAACAGCCCTCCGCTCACCCCGCCTTCCCGAGGTCTTTTGCGGTGCTGGACACTTCTCCTTCACAGGATAATGCCGGCTTTCACGCTGGTGGTACAGCGCTTATTCCTCACCACTGCCTAACCAGGGTCTTTTGGAACCTCCCCAGATTCGATCCCGCAACCACTACCACGTGGTTCAATGGTACCAGACTCTGCCTCAACATTCGCTATGTAGGAGAGGTTGCGGGTTCGAGTCTAGGGAGGCTCTCCGCAAGGGGAATAATCCGCACACTACTGCGGGGAAGCCTTTGTCTCCTGATGCTCACCGTAAGGGGTGGGGTCGCCCTGTTGTGGGGCCTGGGGGGAGAGTGTCCAGCGCCGCAAAAGACCTCGGGTAGGCGGGGTGAGCGGAGGGCTGTTACATGTTAGTCCTTCAGCAATAACCGTACACTTAGGTTTTCACAACAATTTATTCAAAATTAATAACAATCTATTCTGGTTTTAACAAGTTAGAAAAACTAATTGGATAAGTTTAATTGTACGTGTTAATCTTTCATTAACAAGTACCCATTTTGATTTTGGCAACAATCTATTCGTGATTAACAACATTACATTTAGACTTTTAACAAGTAAAATGTATGAAGTTTTAAAACTTTCAATTTGTAATTGTTTATGTCAAATTAACAAATAACATTTGTAAAATAACAAATTTTATTTAAAAATTAACAACACATCATTATTGTATACCATGAAAGTAGTTAGAAGCTTGATTTATTACTCTCTCTCTTTATTTTTTGGTTATATATAACTAAAGGGCTTGGTGACCATTAGGCTACTAGACTTTTTAGGTGACCAATGATTATGGAATCAAACTCTCCCTTAGCCATCTAAATCAATTATTTCTTGAATAAAAATGTTGCCAGTCGCCAATAGTAGGGGCTTCAATGACCTTGCTGCTGGCGACAGTTGGGGTTTTTTTTTTTTAAATTTGAGGGGTAGTTTGATCTTTTAACTACAAAGTAATATCAATTAAGAATTAAAGAATTGTATTGTAATTTTAAAGTTAATTGATCTTTCACTAATATTAATTTACTACTAGGGTCCTCAGTTGCTATTTTTTCCTTTTTTTTTAATCACATAACCCAACTCTACATGTTCTTAATTGCCATGTATACTTCTCACATTTAAATAATTTTATTTCTTTTAAAATTATTATTGTAAACATCCTATTTCGTCGCAACTTTCTAAGATTACTTTACAAAATAAAATAATAGAAAATGAAAAATAATGGCAAGATACGTGATGATAATTTCAAAAAGTAGGCGCTCTTGAGAGTTTTCTTGTGACTTGGTTTCAAATCTCTCAGGATAGTCACCATATGATATAATATTTTTTCTGTGATTGTAATATTTATAGAGATATGCATATCAAATAGCGTTAAGGATAAAAATTCAAGTGAGAAGAACAAATAACGAATGGTTCTGATTCGTTGGAAATATGGATTCGAATGAGCCATCAGCAGCGTCGACTCTTAGCTATGCGTGTATGATGGAGAGAATAGATGCGGTCCAAGACTCCAAGGGTGAGAAAATTGAGAACGAGGCAAAGGGAGAAGAGTAAACGTGAGGCACAGTGGGGGAAAGAAGAAGCGAAAGATAAAGAGAAAAATATTTTTGCCCCCAATTATTCACTTATAGTGCAATTTTTTTTAACATCTGAAAATGATATTATTGAAATGGTTAACTTGGATCATTAATTAATTTAAAAATTGAAAAAATGATATCAAAACTTACAGAAAAGGGTTCATAAAATTATACATAAGTATTTTACAAAAAAAAAAATTAATGTCAATCAAGTCCTATAAATTTCATATAAATAACATAATACAAATATTATTTCTTAATAAAAAGGCCAAGATACGATTTTGACAAAACCATTATTTTAGGAATCTAGTTGATATTAATTTTCTTATAGGGTACTTGTTTACAATTTTATGAGTCCTTTTTTCTATAATTTTTAGGGTTTTTTTATAATTTTTTTAATCAACTAATGGTCATAGTTAATTTTTTTAATGTCAAGGTATCCAATGTACTGTTTTCAAATATTAAAGGAAAAAAGTGCATATAATTCTACACGAATAGTTTAAGGATAAAAAATACTTAACCGCTCCTTTATCTTTCCCCCTTTTTCATGGTTTTATAAAAGAATCTAAAACATATGACTTGGTTGCTGTACAATCTCTTACACTACCAAATCAGAATGCACAAGCCATAATATACAGGGACATATAGTAGTCCAAAATCAAATAGTGAAGAGAAAAATTGCACCATGTGTGAGTTTAGGATAGAAATGCTCAACTAGTTCTTTATATTTTTGGGAAAATTGGTAGAAAAGCCTTGACCATAAATTTAATTATTAATAGAGACTTACGAAGTTTTTTGAAATGAGGTCCTTTGGTGGCATACATTACTAAAGACTAAATGACTTTAGTGCCATTCCTTCCTTCCTTTCTTCTTCCTCATCATGGATCCTTGTCTGCACTACCATTGACAACGTCATTGATCTCTCATCAATACATCTCATGAGTAGAGAACTTGAATCAAATTCAAGGAAGCAATTGAAGTTAGGGCACAATGGAGAGTAAGGTGAGGTCTTGATTTGCTTTGCTTTTTAAGTTACAACCATGCCTCTGGCTTTGTTCATTTTAAAAGTTAAATGCTCTAGTTGTCTTTATGGCTTCTTCTTGTTTCCTCTTCTCAAAACGAAATTCAAATAGTTTGCGACCTAAGCAAACTCCATAAACAGTGCATATTTTCTGAAGCTTTCAAGGTTAAGAAAATATAGTTCACAACATAAGCAAAGACGGATTCAAGTTAAGGCTTCTAGGGGCAATTGTCTCCACAAGTTAAGAAAATGTCGCATAACAAGACCCCAAACTTTTTATATGCCCTCATTAGAAAATTTCATTTGCCCCCATCATTTCAAAAAATTCACTTTACCCATATAAAAATGTATGATCTAAAAGACTAAAAATTTATCCCATCAAAAAGTAATTTTTTATTTTATGCATTCTTTTTAGCATTTAATTTTATTATATTATATCCTTAATAAAAATTAATAAATATTTAAAATTATTTTTATAAAAATATTAATATATTTTTTAAATATAAATTATGCCCCCACCGATTTCATAAATTATTTTATGCCCGTCACTGAACATAAGCCATTGTGAACGTGTGATGA